CCACCTCGTCGGGGGGAACGGAAGAGGAAAACACCATGGAAGCTTCGTGGGTCCTTCGAAGTTAAGGTTGGAGGTAAACGAAAGAAGGTCATGGTTTACAATCCCGTCGCCGAGATCCCGAAGGAACAAGACTCCAAATTTCAAAAGTGGTTGGATGATGCCAGTAATCCGCAAGCAGCACGGAAGACATGCTACACACAACGAGGCAAGCAATGGTTTCGGGATATTCTAACACCAAACAAATGGTGTTCGTGTGAGGTACGACTGCTTTCCATGCTTGAATTTGGGTATATTAATGTTCGTACCTTCATTACGTTGTTGTTCGTCTTTACAGGTAGTCGATTCGTTGGTCATGTTCGTGCGTAAGAAGCTCGAACTGCGACCAGACTTATGTCGTCGCAAGTTCACCACCGGGAACCAAGTACTTGCGGTAAGCTTTTAAAACCAGAAACCTGAGTATATATATTCGCCTTTTATTCAATTGTCGTTCTCGTTACAGAACTTCCTTAGACGTACGGATGGTGTCTATGCCTGCATGCAATCTCATAGCGCCATTGATTCGAGGGTTGCAACAGACTATGATTAGGAGGGAAGAGCGAAGACTCTGCTCAACTACATCGATGGCACTCAGTCAGACTATGAGCAACGCTGGATGGATGTCGATGCCGTTTATCTACCGTACAATATCGGTGGAGTGCACTGGGTAATGATATGCATCGACTTCGACGAGGGTGAGGTCATCGTGTGGGACTCCTTTATGTCCTTGACACCACTTCCTAAGTTGGAAGAGGCCCTGAAGCCGATGATAACTATTATCCCGGCACTGATCTGCAGGGCCGGAGTTCAGCTAAACAAGCCGAATATACCACTCACACCATGGCGAATCCGTAGAGTCGTATCAGCACCCCAACAGGAAGGCGGCGGTGATTGTGGTATATTTTGTGTTAAATTTTTTGAGTATGATGCGACTGCCTCTAGCTTAGATAACTTAACACAGTCTAGGATGTCATTCTTTAGGCGGCAATTTGCCGTTCAGCTTTGGGCGAACAAATGTATCGTATGAATAGTACATTTGTAATAGTTAAATACTATTTTTGTATATTTGAATGTTTTTATTCTTTGAATCGTATACAGTTGAATGCATTTTTTAAATATATGAATGTTGTTCATATACTGCATTTGGAACTGTTAAGATAAAAGCAGGCACAGGTGATGACAAACAACTTGAGTAAGAAGTTATTCAAAACAATGCAGGATCCACGGCCGAAATATTCATAATTCACGGACATGGTGTCAATAATTCAAGGCCGTGATGAAGAAATTCACGGCCGTGTTGGATAGAATTGAAGGTCGTGGTTGAGATACTTCATGGCCTTTTTCGAGAATTCATGGCCGTGGCTTCAAAATTAAAGGCCGTGGTTCATAAATTAATGGCCGTGGTGTTGGGAATTCATGTACGTGGTTCAAAAATTGAAGGTCGTGGTTTTGAAATTAAAGGCCGTGGTGTTATGA